AAGTAACGAGGGAAATAATGGTGTCTCTAACATACTATAATGACATGCAAGTCTAAGAGATGATCTTGCCAAATCAAGAAAATTGCGATGGGGTTTTTAATTTTGTTGGTCATAGGGAGTGCAGGTCCATGACAAGGGTTGTCAGCATTAGCATACCCCACAACTTCAATTGATTTGGGTGGAGTCGTTAATTATGAGAAGTGTGAATGGTAATAGAGTTAGAATTGAATATTGAAGTTGTAGTATTAGTGGATTTGAAAGATTTAAAAAATATTTAAAAAAATAAAAATAGATTAGAGTTATGATATTATACAGAGGATAATCGTGGAAATACTTTTTTTTTTCATTTGATTTAAGATGTCAAATAATTGCAATAATATTAATATAATAATAATAAATCATATATGACACTTGTATATCAATAACAATAAAATCAACATTCGAATAAGAAAATAAAGTAATCAGTTTCTTAAAAAAGATATACGCAGCATGTACAAACCGACTCAGACTGACAATTTTATAGTTGAAAATACACAATCAACTTCTTAAAACTGATACACACAGAATGCACTTATCAACTCGAAATAACAACTTTATAATAAAAAATATACTGACTATCCAGTTAAAAAAAATAATTTTGAAATACAAACTATATATGAAATGTGGATATATACATAACGTTTGAAATTCAAACTGAAGTTCATAGGATAAGAACAAGGTTACATTTATAATTAAAGGCTTATTATTTCTAAGAAATGATAAAAATAAAAAAAGTAAATTTATAGACAAATCAAGTAGAAAATTGATGAAATTATTTACGGCTTTAACTTTTTTTAAGTATTGCAAAGATTTTGTACATTCTCATAATTAAAAAGGTAAATTTCAACTTTAAATATTAATTATATATATATATATATATGAAACTAATTGCTGAATTACTGTAAAATAGAACTCAACATAATCAAAGTGAATATATTAATGTCGTGCCCTGAAATATTCTTTATTCTTTATGTTGGGATCAATACCGAAAATACTTGGCTCGTCACTTCTGATTAGGTAACATGCATGCAACCTTAACGCAACCATTTAATTTTAAGATAATAAAATATTATATGTATGTATGTATATACACACACACACAAACACACATATATTCTTGGGAATTTCAAATATATTCTATATATAGTTTAATTCTTTTTCTAATTTCTATTTTTCTCATTAAGTTAATTATCATCATATCCATAATTATTATTACATTTTTTTTTTCATAGTTTCTTGGTGTTCTTTTATTAAAAATTAAAAAAAAAAATTACTCACTCCCCAAATAATTCAATAATTAAGTGAAGCAGATAAAAAAAAGAATTTGAGCATCAACAAGGAATAGGAAGATGATTCCATAACATCTCATGATTTTACTACACTTGGAATATTTGATTTAATCACTTTTTTTTAAAAAAAAAAACATGTTTAATATTCGACGAGTATAATTCGATGGATTTCAAGAACTCTCTCCATCATTTGTCACTGTGTAAGCATAGATTACATTAATAATGTCATGCATATTCCATATAATAATGTCTGTAAGTTCATAATGGAACATAATTAAAAGTCGTGGGAATAAATTATTTAAACCTAATTACATTTTTAAGAGCTTAATTGAAATACTAATTCACCTTTCGCAGCCTTAATTAATTAGAAAATATGAGAATATTCGACCAAAATTATATTTGGATGTCTTCCCTTTATGGAAACGTTAATAATAACATGCATGCATGTTGGTTATATAATACACTTTCATTTCAACTTATTTTATGCCACAATTTGCTAAAACATTCCCCAACAGATTCTAATATCCCAAACTAAAGCATCTTTCATTAGATATACATATGTGTGATATATGTTTTTGCTATATATATATATATATATATCACTTCTTATTATATTTATGCATGCGTATATATATGGTTTTCTAGTATTTGTTCCGTTAGTCACTCATTTTTTTAAAAAAAATTCTCCATGCCCTTGATGCTAATTAAACATTATCTTTATATCTATGATAATCAGAATATTATTGTCAAGAGCGAGTAGTTTGATTGCAAATGAATGAAGTTGGAGACTCTCCAAAAAAAAATAATAAAAATTGCCCGTGATTCAAAAGTCTTTGATAGAGTTCGTTGAGAAATAATTCTTTGATACTAGGTATTGTTACGAAGAATAGTTTTCAGTTGAAAATATCGAAAGGTGTTTTTTTTTTTTTTTGAATTTGCACGTTGATGTTTGTTTTTGTAAATTAATAATTATATAATCTATAACATTAAGAAAACAATAAGGTTGGAAAAAATGTGACTTATTAAAAGGGGTGATGAAAAATTTGATTGTTGAAAATGGACTAGAGTGACAGTGGTGCAAGGGAAAAAGCCTGTACTATACAACATAAGAAAAGGTAAAAGATAACAGGAAATATAATATGCAAGTGTCAAGAAACCAAGTTAGCAAGAGTGAAAAGTGAGAGGGGTTTGTAAATGCATGAGGGGAGGGAAAGAATGGTATGAGAGATTAGATCACAAAATAATTGCATAATTTTCAATTGAACTCGCATGGTTATGGAGTTATTATAATGTTTAGGCTTTTTATGCTCATTAACCTCGCCTAAAGCTTTGCTAGTTCTTTGGAAACTTTGAATTGATCCTAGATGTCTATGGGTAAAAGAAGAGGTGTCTAGAGGGATTCAACTTCTTCAAGTTTGTTAAGTATGTCAAACTTGATTAAGCTAATAGAGCAATTAAATTCACATATTGAATCATGTAAGGTGCCAAATAGTTTTCTATTAGAATCTTTCGAAAAAAAAAAAAGCATCATGTTGTTCTAATGCTCATTCAGTAAGCTTTAAATCTAATAATATAACTTTCTTATATTACGAATCCTAAAGCCAAAAACTTCTCTTTGTTTTCTTTTGATGATTAAATTTCCCTATGCCTATAAGATGAGAACTCCATTTCTTCTCATGAGAATGAGATTTAAGCTAAGCAACTCTTTAATGTATCACACATAATCTAAAATACTTTCCTAATTTCAAGAACTCTTCTTAAAAGTATATCCTAGACGATAAATAGTAAAAGATATTTAATAAATACTAAAGAGAAACATTGAAACCCTAACCACGGAAACTTTTTTATATGGAGGAAGAGGACACGATGGTAAGGTTTTGTTTGTGAAAATTCCTAAAACCAAATTTTACTTTTTATGGAATTCTTATATTTGGTTTTGCTAGAAAATATCCTGATCATGAAAATAATTTTCATGGAAGATGAGCAAAACATGATCATGGAAAATGTTTTTCATGGAGAAAATCATCCTCTCACTTTTAGTTATTGTCTTCACTGAAAAAAAAAATATTCTCTTAGCCAAAACCCTAGGATAGCGAGGACTAGTGAGAATTTTTTCTCTTTTTTCCTATCTTCTTTCATCTTATATTAAACTCATCATTTAATTAATTCAGATTCCTAAAGGTGTCTACATGTGATTAACCTTATAGAATTAATTAATCTTATTACCTAATACTTAATATTCGCGTAGATACTAATTATAAGGTTCCTATATTATCTTCAAACGAGTAAAAATTCGATTAAGTTAATATATTTGACCTATTAGACTTAATTTTAAGGTACAATACCTTTTTTCAATCAAGAGTATCAATTTGCAACATAAGTAGATAAATCATATACATTAATTATGCTGAACATATAGATAATGAACGACATCTAACTATGCAATATTGAAGTTGTATTATGTCTCTATTCTCTTGATTGTTTTGGTCCTTGCCTTTGTTTCTTTTTCTAGTTCTGATTAAACTATTTGTGTTTATGAGATTTTGTGTTTGGTATTGTATATTTATTTTTCTCAATAAAATCTTTTACTTTTTTTCTTAAAAAAAATGGCATCTAAGAATATACCATAACTCCTATAATATAATGAATTTACTTCTTAAAGGATGAACTTGTTCATCAACAAGTATTATGCAAATCC